AAAGATTTTGTAATCCACATTTAGGAGTGAGATGGGACGGTAGTTCTTAAGTTGAGTCTTTTCAGTTTCCACTTTAGGAATCAATGTGATGAAAGCTTCTTTCCACGACTCCGGTGTCTTCTTCCCCTCCATAATCTGGTTGCATACCTCCATCAAAGGTTGTATCAAATAGTCCTTCAAAGTCTTATAATATTTGGAGGTAAGTCCATCCGGGCCTGGAGATTTGCCTAATTGCATATTCTGAATGGCACCTTCAATTTCCTGTTGCGTTATTTTACAGTTCAGGATTGTTCTCTTTTCCTGAGTTACTTTTGGTAATCCGTTAGTTTTTAAAAATTGGTCTATCTCGAACTCTTTCTGTGGCCCCTGTGCATAAAGTTCTTTGAAATATCTCTGGAAGCACCTTCTAATTTCTTCTGGTTTCTGAACAATTCTCCCATCAATTTCTAGATTTGTAACTGTATTCAATTTTTGTCTCTTTTTCAACTGCCATGCTAGCAGTTTTCCACATTTATTTGCTGATTCAAATGATCTTTGCTTCATTTGTTTAATTTTCCATTCAACCTCTTGATTTATCAATTTCGAATATTGTGCTTGATGGAATTTGATTTCTCTCAGTACCTCCTTCGATTTTGGGTTAGTTCTCAATTTTTTCTCTCCTTCTCTTATTTTCTCCAAGATCTTCTCCTTTTTTCCATTCCAGAATCTTTTCTTGATCGTATTTTGTTGTATCAGAAACCCTCTCATAACTGCTTTACTTGCGTCCCAGATCGTTCTTTTTTCTACCGTAGTATTCAAATTTATTTCAAAATAGTCTCTTAAAGTTTTTTGGGCCTTCTTCACAACCTCCTGATCTCTTAGTAAGGTGTCATTCATTTTCCATCTGAAGGAACCGGTTGGAGTAAGTCTCAATTCCACTTTCAAGGCGTTATGGTCGGAGCAGGTTTTTGAGCAGATTTCCACTTTTCTAGTCTTAGGTGCCAGCCCTCTAGTTCAGTGTTTCCCAACCTTGTGCCTCCAGCTGTTTTTGGACTACAATTCCCATCATCCCTTGCCACTGGTCTTGCTAGTCAGGGATGATGGGAGTTGTAGTTCAAAAACAGCTGGAGGCACAAGGTTGGGAAACACTGCTCTAGTTGTCCATATTTGGTCGATTCTTGTCCATGACAAATGGGCCTCAGAAAAGAAAGTTCCTTCTTTACCTAAGGGGTTTTTTGTTCTCCATATGTCAATCAAATCCATATTGTCAGTTAGTTCAAAGAAAGTTTTAGGTAGTCTGCCGTCTTTTGTTAAATTTTGGTTTTGTGACTTATCCATGTTTGTAGATACCACCCCATTCATGTCTCCCATCATGATGATGTTGGAATAGTCCAAATAGTCCAGCATAGTCTCGTGCAGCTTCTTAAAAAATTCTGATTTCCCATCGTTGGGTGCATATATTCCTAATATCAGGAATTTTTCTCCATGTGTCTGAATTTCAATCGCCAAAATTCTTCCTTGCTCATCTTTAAATAAAAATTTCGGTGACAGACTCTCCTTTGCATAAATTACCACTCCTCTTTTCTTAACTCTGTCCGATGAGATAAATTCCTGGCCTAATCTTTTGTTGATTAGCACTTTCCTGTGGAGCCTAGTCACGTGAGTTTCTTGCAAACAGATAATGTCCAAATGTTCTTTTTTCAAAATGTGAAATATTTTCCTTCTTTTTTCCGGGGAATTTCCACCATTTATATTCCAACTTAATAACTGCAGAGACATCCTGTACTAATTTGTTGATCCTATTGTGGGGTCTCCTCCTTTTCCTCTGCTCCCGAGGGTGCGGGCGGTGGTCCAGCTCCAGGTGTTTGGCCCGGTAGTGGCCAAGCTGCTGCTGCTCCTTTTTGGAGGTCTTCTCCGTGTTCGTGTAGGAACTTTTGCAGGTCTTCTGTCGATTTGATTTTCGCCTTCTTTCCTTTATGGGTAAAAGATAATCCTTGTGGGAATTCCCACCTATAAGGAATTCCGTTTTGTCTCAACAGTTTTGCCAGTTCTGTATAAGTGGCTCTGAGGTCCAGTAGTTGTTTCGGTATGTCTCTGTAGATTTCAGCCCTTTTATCTTGTATTTCAAGTGATTTTTTGAAGTGAAGGCCTAGTATCTTGTCTCTCTCTTCCCTTGATCTCAAAATTATCAAACAGTCTCTGGATCTGTCCTTCCTTACCACTCTTCCCAATCTAAATGCCGATACAATTTTAAAATCGTTTTCTTTTATACCCCAGAACTTGGAGAATTCTGTTGTCAAATAACCAATCAAATCTCCTTGTTCAAGTTCTGGAATAGCTCTCAGTCTGAGGTTGTTCTCTCGGTTTTTCAATTCCACCATTGACAGATAGGCTTGTTGTTCACCAATCTGTTTGTGCAGGGGCTTGACTTCTCCCTTGATCTCCTCGACCCCCTTATTCGCTTGCTCTGCTTTTTGAAAGGCTTCCACAGCTAGTTTACGGTTTTCGGCCGTTGCTCCTTGCAAATTTTCAATTACTTGTGTATGCTGGGAAACCTGATCAGTCAATTTCTGAATCGAGGATGTAGCTTGGTCAATTTTTGATGATTGATCATCGACCTTTTGATTTAAGGTTGACAGTTGTTCCAAAATTTGTTTCAAAACTGCTTCGGATCCTCCTGCTGCCATATCTTCTACTGCAGACTTTTCAGCTTCCGCCTTCTGTGCTACCAGCACAGCTGGGACCGATGATCTACGTGCTTGGGTCAGAGTTGTTTGAACAAGTTGTGCAGGTTTTTTTCCCTTTTCTTTTTCTTTAGCTTCTTTGGCTTTAGCTGCTCTTGTTTTCCCTGTGCCGCTCATTCCACATCTGCCAATGTTCAAGGTCAAGTTGTCTATTGTCCCATGAGAAAGGCAGATCCAGTTTACAAACAGTCAGTAGAGAGAAAGTCAAAATAAAAAGCAGTTCCCAGGCCTTTATAATTCCAAAATCCTCTAGGGGGAGTGCCACCAAAGTTTAGAAGAAAGAAGGAAGTTTTTCCGCCATTAAAGTCCCTGTAATCCCAATACAAAAACTCAATAGTCCCGAAACAAAAGAGAGGTTCTCCAGAGCTCTTTTTTTAAATTTAACAAAGTCTCAAGAAAGGTGTCTGCAACAGTGTCAAGTCTGTTATGCTCAAAAGTAACAGTTAAACTTGAGTAACAGTTTCCGCAGTTTAACAATTCTCCTGTCTGGCAGCCCGACGATTTGGCTCTTTAGTCTTAATAGTCCATAAACAAGAGGATAGCTCCAATTTAAAGTCCCTTTAGCTTGAAAAAAAAGTCTATTCTTTCCCTTTTGAAAATCAGTTCCATAAACGCACGAAAATCCCAACTTTTGACAGTTCCCTTTTAAAGCGCTTCCCGCTTCTCAAAGTCTTTGCTTTGATCTTGCAAGCAAAATCGGAAGACGGACTTCCTGTTTCTCGTCTCCCGTTTTCAGCCAAATTCAGCAATTTAGTCTCCAAATTTAATGCCCCTTACTCACGGGTATGTTGCTTGTAGCCTGATGTTTCAAGAAGAAAGGTCGGCGCTCATCAGTAACAGCCGCGCGGCTTCGCTTCCGCGGAAAGAGCGATGAACTCACAGCACCGCTCCCCCTTCTACGCTCCGGAGCCCCTTACGGGGTTCCTTCTGCGTTTTCGGGGTTGCTTCTGGTGCCGCCAAATCCCACGGCCACGGGCTCACTCTACCCGTGGTTTTTCTTGGTGGGTCGCCGCTGTGCCGCAGCGTGCGACCCTTTTCCGCGGAGCCCCTCTTCAGAGAACGAAGAGGACCGCCATTACCGTTTCGCGCCGCCTCCGGAAGTCAAACTGAATGTGATGGCCTGGGATTCCGATTCGGAGGATGAAACAGAGGAATCCCAGCCTGCACAGGAGTCCCCGCCTCCAGGGCCGGCTGAACTGGGGCAAGGCCTAGATGCTGAAGAGCCTGCACCTGTGGCAGTGCATCAGGAGCTGGCCCCAGGTGAAGTCCTTCTGGCCCCAGAGGGGCTTGATGACTCAGTGGCCACAGGTGAGCCTCCTCCAGGGCCCAGTAACCCTTCGGCCTCTCCTGATCTGCAGAGGCTTAGGGCAGAGAGGCGAAGGGAACTGGTTGCCCCCAGGAGGAGTGCTCGCCTTAAGGCCAGAGGAGGCGGGGCTCCTGGGGGTCGGGACCGCCCCTGACCTTAGAAGAGGATAAAAGCCCAGTCAGCCCGGCCCCAGGTTGCGGGAGCAACGTCATTGTTGGCTTCGGACCTTCCTGTGTTCCTGATCCCTGCTCGGCCTCCTGTTCCTGACTATCCGGTACTCCTGTTCCCTGCTCGGCTTCCTGTTCCTGACTATCCGGTACTCCTGTTCCCTGCTCGGCCTCCTGTTCCCGTCCATCCGGTGTTCCTGTTACCTGCTCAGCCTTCTGTTCCAGCGTTCCTGTTCCCCGCCCGGCTCTCTGCATCGGACCTCGCCCCTCTTCGTGTGGACTCTGCTACACCCACGGTACCTTACCCCCGGGACCAGCACACTGAAACTGTTCTTAACCTGAAGCACCACTTTAGCTAATGGGGCCTCCTGCTGCCACCGCGCCGCTGCTGTGTGATTTCTGTTCTCATCCTGAAGCAAAGTTGTTAACCTGAGGTAATATTTTTGGGTTAGCGGAGTCTTTAACCTGAAGCGTATGTAACCTGAAGCGTATGTAACTCGAGGTACCACTGTATCATGCTCATTAGCATTCTTTGCAGAAAGCTAAGACACAGGTTGAACCACTACCATGCATGAATTCTGCTAAAAATGTGCAAATCTCCCCATACTCAGCACTGCAAGACTGCTACATTTAAAATGCACCCAAGTGAACTATGCAGCACTTTAAATTTATTAATCACCCCCACACCATTTTTGCAATACTATCTAATCACAATTTGGCAACTTCACCTAGTGTCAGGAATCAGCCAGCTTCCAGTTGCTGCCAACTGAAGGAAGCAGCCAGGAACAGAGAAGGTTAACTGCCATGCAGGATGAGCATCGGTTAGTGCCAACTCCCCCGCCTCTTGGAATGCTGGCCGATAAGGGAATTGTGGAGAGCAAGCCAGAACTCAGTCAAAGCTCGCCAGAAGTACAAACAGGCGGGAAAGAGCTAAGAGACATCCTCTCTGAGAATGGAGAAGAGGAGGGAGCTGACCCACTCAGTCTGAGGTCTCGACGAATGGGAGGGCTGCAAGATAGGAAGCAAAACAAAAGATGTATGGAGTGAAAGTTCAGTTGCTTCTGGTCTCACCGGAAGTAGTCTTCAGAAGGGTCATCTTGATTGATGATGGTGGAGACTGTGTAAAGCCGTCCAGAGCTATCTGTTTGTTTTGACAATAAATCGTCCTTTTTAATTAACTACACTCACTTATCAAGCCGGGAACTGGAGTCCTAACACCTAGTAATCATGGGATTTGGGGAGAGAGTTTATACTGTACATGCTTAATTCAATGGATTTAAATGCCTGAGTAAACCAGCAATCTAAAACACAATATTAAAAACAGCTTAAAACAAATTACAATCACAATTGAAGTGGTTCCTAAATAAATACTGATAGCTCTGAGGATCAAGCGTCAAAGTCTAGGCTAAAGAGGTGTGTCTTCAATACATGATAAAAGCTGCAAAATGAAGGTACCTGACACAACTCTGTAAGGAGAGAATGCCATAATTTAGGGGCTGCTGCAGAGAAGGCCCTCTCCTGGGCCTCCACCACCTGAACTGATGAGGGCAGTGAAACCACTAAGAAGGTCCCTCCACTGAACTTAAGACCCAAGAGAATCTGTAGCGAAGAGGCAGTTTTAAAGATGTTTGGGCCATACATAGAAATACAATTATGGCAAAAGCTTTACCTATTGACACTGGTTTACTTTTGGACCCTGTATTTGAGCATGGCAACCTGTTAGATTTTAAATGCTGTAACTACAAGGGTGGGCCCTTTTTCTTGTTCATTTTTCAGCGGTGGAAAAAAAATAATTATCCGCAAGTCAAAACAATATTTTGAACACGGACATTTTAAGATAGATACAGTCATACCTTGGAAGTTGAATGGAATCCGTTCTGGAAGTCCATTAGCTGCAGGAAGCTCCTGCAGCCAATTGGAAACTGCAGAAGCCCCCATCAGACTTTGGCTTCCAAAAATAGTTCACAAGCCAGAACAGTCACTTACGCGTTTGCGGCATTCAGGAGCCAAAACATTCAAGAACTATGTTGTTAGAAAACCAAGGTATGACTGTAATGCCTTGGCATATGTTGTGGCTATACCTGTTTCACTATGGTGTTGATACTGCTGTTTTATTTCAGTCTTCCTCAGCATAGCACTTTCTAGAAGTTTAAAATCAAAACTCCTATCATGCCCCACCATTGGCTATTATAGCTGAAACTAATGGGATATCTTGTTCAAAATCTTTGGAGGGCACCAAGTTGGGAAAATCTGATAGGGAAATTGATGATTATTTACATTCCATACTGCTTAAAATATTTAAAATATATCTAAGCAGCGTACAGAAACCTGAAGCAAACAATACAACTAAAACAATACCATGCAAAGATACAGTTACATATAAAAATGTTACATTAATACAAAGCTACTAATATATATATAAATCAATATCGGTTCATTTTGCTTCTGACACACTCTCCCATGCAGCCTCCCAGTTCTCACCCAAGGTCCAAACTCACCCAAGGTCCCAAATCTCAGCTCACCCACAAAAGTATCCTAAGAGTTCCTAGAAGCAGTGGACATCACCCTAATCTCTCACTCTAGATTTGATTTTTATAGGCAGGCCCCTGTTAGATGCTACTTCCTCAGGCTGTCCACAGCTGTGTCCCATTCAGCTGCACTATCCACACCCAGTTTCTGGTACAGATGGTCCCCCTTCTACTCACAGTTCTTTCTTTTACACAACTCAAATTATTAATTTTTTGCTGAATCATAGAATCTTAGAGTTGGAAGGGACCCCAAGGGTCATCTAATCAAACCCCCTGCAATGCAGAAATCTAAGCTAAAGCGTCCACGGTCGATGGCCATCCAACCTCTGTTTAAAAAACCTCCAAGGAAGAAGAGTCCACCACCTCTCATGGGAGTCTGTTCCATTGCTAAACAGCTCTTACTGTCAGAAAGTTTTTTCTGAATGTTTAGTCAGACTCTCCTTTCCTGCAACTTGAAGCTATTGGTTTGAGTCCTAGCCTCCATAGCAGGAGAAAACAAGCATGCTCCCTCTTCCATGTGTCAGCCCTTAAGATATTTTAAGATGGCTGTCATATCTCCTCTCAGCCTCCCTTTTTCCAGGCTAAACATACCCAGCTCCTTCAAGCGCTCCTCATAAGTCTGTTTCCAGACCCTTGATTATCTTGGTTGCCCTCCTCTGCACACGTTCCTGCTTGTCAACAGAACTGGACACAGTATTCTAAGTGTGGTCTGACTAAGGCAGAATAGAGTGGTACTACTAATTCCCTTGACCTGGACACCATATTTCTGTTGATGCAGCCTAGAATAGCATTAGCCTTTTTTTGCTGCTGCACCACACTGTTGACTCATGTTAAGCTTGTGGTCCACCAAGACCCCTAGATCCTTTTCACATTTACTGCTAGTAAGCCAGGTGTTCCCCATCCTATATTTGTGCATCTGGTTCTTCCTGCCTAAGTGCAGAACCTCACCCTTCTCCCTAATGAAATTCATTTTGTTAGCTTGCACCCAGTTCTCCAATCTGTTAAGGACATTTTGAATTCTGATTCTGTCTCCTGCGGCATTAGCTACCCCTCCCAGTTTGCTGAATATATTTCAACAGTCCCAAAGTTTGAGAGTCAGTAGCACAGATGTTGTAATGGTTGTTGCACACAACCCCATGGAACAAGATAACAGTGGTTACCCAGACTTCATTGCTGGTTGCGAAGGGCCTCTCAAGCTTCAGGACTCCAGAAATGTTGATTCACCACTGCACATAACCCAGGCTTGACCCTGACCTAACCTCAGCCTTCCCCTGGGAGGCTAATAATGGATACACACCCAATGCCTAAGCCAAAGCTTATCTACATCAGTAATCAAAAAATTTGGTGGCCAATCCCAGAAAGTTGTTGGGTCTAGTTCATTCCACCCTTTATTCCTTATGTCTTCACCCACGAGGATGGTGTGCACCTTCGCTCAAAGCTATTTCTTCACTCTCTGTCCTCTCCACCTCCTCCATCTTCTTAGATGCTGACTGCTGTTATGACACATGCATCACAGCCCAGATGGTAGTCAATATGTACTATGATTCACCCTGTGTCAGCGACTGGGTATAGGGGGAATGGTGGGGACTGCCTCCCCAGCCTGACCTGTCAGGTGGTGGTGTGGTTGCTTGAGAGCAAACAAGCAAGACTCCAACCTCTCTTTTCCAGCTTTATTATTAGTGCAAACTATTTACAGTGAAGAGCGTTGCAAGTTCATGTCTGGCTCAGTCACTAGCAGAATCTGGGCGTGGCCGGTTCTTGTACCTCCCCCAGCATAACAACCATGTGACCCCCATCCTTCTCCTCCACTCTCTGTGCCGAAACCTACTGCGCAGAGTGGGCGCTGGCAAAGGGGTACTTCCCTCCCCTCCGCTTTGCTCAGGCTCAGTGTTGAGGCTCTCCCTAGCATCTCCTGGTCCCTGCACCTCCACCCCACTTGGAGGCAGGGCTTTCCTCCTCGCCAGAGGAGGAACTGCTTCGCAAGATCTTCGGAGGTTCCCTATAACACAACTGCCTTTCCACCTCTCGCCTCTGAGCTGATGGCAGCTCCCTGACATGACCCTTCCAGAGAAGAGGGAGACAGTTTATTTTTTTATATATAAGATATTTATTAAGCTTTTTTCAAAGAAAGACATAAATTTACACAATAGAGAAAATAAGAACGAAGAGTTACAAGAATAAAAAAAGCATCAAGAATAGAAAAGAGATAAAAAGAAAAATACAGGTATTATAAAAAAATGCATAGAAAATACATACAAAATACAAAAAACAAAATAGCTAAGAAAAAAAGTTTAAAAACAAATCCAGTTTTCAATATCTATAGACTCGTTTGCTTATTTTCTTGACTTCCTCACACCTCCCCTTTTTGTATTCCCATTTATATAATCGATTCAGCAATTCCTTACCCTCTTTCATTAATCTTAACTTTAGATCTTAACCTGTTATAACAATATATTTTCATCCATTATCATTCCGTATTTACATATTCCTATTAATCTTGTTACCAATACCACTTGTTTTCAATCCAACATCATTTTAACATTCATTAATTTTACAGTATTTCTGCAAGTAGTCTTTAAATTTCTTCCAATCTTCTTCCACCGACTCTTCTCCCAGGTCTCGGATTCTGCCAGTCATTTCTGCCAATTCCATGTAGTCTATCACCTTCGTCTGCCACGAAGAGGGAGACAGTTTAGAATTACAACAGGGGTCTGAGGGCACTCACAGTTCAGAGGCAGAGGGGGAAAGTTGGGAAATAATGGGAGAGGAGGAGGAGAGGAAGCACCAGGGAGGTGACAGCTGATGGACACAGTGTCTTTAGAAAGCATCCCAGACCCCACCTCCAAGAACCCAGCGAGCCTTGAAAGTAGGAGAACAAAGAGCTCAAAGACAGAGGGAACTTCTCAGCACCCGTAGTAGAGAAGTTGAGCTTGATGAATGAGAAAGTGGAAGAGAAGGGGGTGGGGTGGGGTGGAGATTCACTCGAGACAACACCATTATTCCAAGAGGCTGCGTTCTAAGCCTCTCTCTGTATATATTGAATAAAAAGCAGGTTGTAAGGACTTTTTCTTGTCTTATCCGTCCCTGGCAACCTGCTGTGGAAGTTGTTTCCTCTGCCACCTGACACCCTGGTTGTATACCACCCTGAAATCTTATCTGATGAAAGTCAGTATAAATATGTTTGAAATGAAGAAATTTGATGTGGAGTGCAGGTGAGACAAACGGCCCCTGGAGAAGATATTACACAATAATATTACACAATAATTGTGTTATAGGATGATGTTCAGGTTCTGAGATCTTTCCTGTCTTAAGTAGTTCCGAGTTGTTACTCCAAGTAATTTACCTTGACTTCAGTGTGGGAGGATTCCTCCAGTTGCAGCTGCAAGGGCTTGGTGGGACTCATGCAATATCTGATGTTTTCCTATGGTTGTTTTGCTGTTGTTCCTTTCCCTGAGTACAGGAGTCACATGGTGGCATGAAAAGTTTGGTCTCCTCCTTCCGCCTTACTCACAGTTGACTGCCCTTCTTGAGTTTCTTTTCCAGAGTTGCGTGTAAACGCTTCTCCCCTCCGCTCTGAATATTGCACATCTTTGGAGATCTGTGACTAAGAATAAATCAGCTGGGTGATGCTCAGTAAACGGGAGAAGGCAAGAAAGGGAAATTGTTTTTAACACGGCTGCTGATTCCTGCCAACTATCTCTCAGGTAAGTGATTGTGAAACTTCTATTGACTCCAGACATGTGAATTCACACCCATATTCATGCTGGTTTGGCAGAAGTAAAATGAATAGGGGTGTGAATTCACTTCAGGCAAATAAAATTGGGTAGATTTGGACCTTGCCCATAGTGTAGCGGTGCATCTCTGAAGCAGACAGATGCAAAATGACCCACTTATGAAGCTACAGATATTTGGAGCGACACAGACCCATTGCAACAACCTCTGTAAAATGAACAATGCTAGGCATAGAGGAGGGAGAGAAAGGGATATGGTTTTGAGACTGATAGCTCCAGCTTCCAATGAGAAAATGACATTCTCTCTTCAATCACCCTGCTTTGGGGAGTAACACTGAAGCATAGCTGTCAACTTTTCCCTCTTCTTGCAAGGAATCCTATTCAGAATAAGGGAATTTCCCTTTAAAAAAGGGAAACGTTGACAGCTATGCACTGAAGCAATGTATCTGAACTCTGTCCATTTCCCATTGTTCTTTGCCAGCTCACTCTCTTTTATGGCCAATGCCATGTGTACACAGATACAAGCACCTGGAGCCAGAATAGTACATGGTAATGTGTACACAGCCTTAGTTTCACTCACCACCACCCTATCCTCTTCTGGCCCTAGCAGTAGCTGCATTTAATGTCAAACTCCTTGTTGTTGTTGTTGTTTGCAGGTGTGTGAGTAGCACTGCAATCTGTTTGACCCTATGATTGTGTTCTTTGTTGCGTGCATATAGGTTAGCTGTGATTCTGTCACCCCCTCCCCAGTTGTATGGGACAGCTCCCCCTTTTAGGAGGGGCTGCTTTGCGGGCAGGATCTGGGTCCCCACAGCGACCCTGCGGTGGGTGGAGGTAAACCGCCCTCATTAGCAGGATCTCCGGCCACATCATATTCTGTCCGGCCAATCAGGGCTTGCCTAGGGCGTGGTTACGCCCGTTTGAATATTGGTGTGGCCAGGGAAGCAGCCTCCTTCTACTTCCAGCCGTGGGATCTCCCAGACCTTCCACCCTCTTTTCTTGCGTGGTTTGACTATGGCCTTGCTATGACTTATGTTGGTCGCCTGGTTGTCGGGGCCAGGTAGGAATTTTTCCACTTGGCATAATTGGCACTGGCCATTTGGTTTTCGCCTACCTACCTAAGAGGAATTGTCACAACTTTATAAGGTTAGGCATTGGGTAAGCCTTATTATGGGAGGGGAGGTTGTTGCCTCTGCCTGTCCCTCCACGTTAAGGGTATCCCGTTAAAGGGATCCGGGGTGTGTGGTCCCTATCTGAAGCCTGGGTGTAGGCTAGGGTCATGGCACAACCCCAACGGTGACCGGGGGGGGGGGCTCATTTGATGTACACCATAGGGCTCCCTCTTCCGGTTGTTGACCCTTAAAGAGATGGGCAGGAGTCAGGTTAGTCTTGCTTCAACCAATTGCATAAGCCAAACCGCTCACATCTGTAACCAATAAAGTTGTGGCCTTATTTATCCCATTAAGCCAATATACATGTGTTCATGTGTTTATTTCCGGGGCCTCGCCATGCATTGTGCGCAAGCACTACATTAGCATATCCTTTCAAATTTCAACAGACTGACAAAACTCATGCTGCCCCAGGCAAGGGTTGACTTTGTTTTTTCAAATTTCAGTGGCGCCCTGTGTGAGGCCAAAATTTGTCCCCTTGCCTTCCGTTCTCCTCAGCTCACTCCATCACAATTGTGACACCCTGCAGCATCCTTTTGGCTTGGTACCCATTGCAGTGAAACCATTCACGCTGCCCTAAATCTACCTCTGCCCGAAGGCAGCTTCTTAGAGGACAAAGGCAAAATGTGAGATAAATCATTCTCTCTCAAATAAACTTTAAAGGGGCTTAGCGTAAGGTCACACACCTGTACCCATCGGTCTGAAATCTGACAAGTGTGGTGTAGTGGTTAAGAGCGGTAGTCTCATAATCTGGTGAACTGGGCACAAAGTATGTGTAAGGTTGTCTGATGTGAAGTGACCTGCTACCTGAAGCCCATTTTTTAGCAGGCACACTCCAATATTTTGTTTGCTAATGTCATTTTGAAAGCTGAAATTGCAAAAAAGAACAACAGGCGCTTTGAATTACCATGAATCTCTGCCTTGCTTTTTGAACTTCATATTTAATATTGTTTCAAAACGTTAAACAACAATTACACTGTCAACTCAAGATGCCATAATCATTCCCCTATAATAGTGGTGAAAAGCTACAACATCTGCAATGTACCGGATTAAAAAGTAAATAATCTTGGCTTCCTTTTTGCTGGCTGGGCATTCTTTCCTATTTTCCAGGGCCTGCCACACTTCTTTGAAGTCTCTCAGCCCCACTCACCTCACAGAGTGTTTGTTGTGGGGGAAGAAGGGAAAGGAGAATGTTAGCTGCTTTGAGACTCCTTAAAAGGGAGTGAAAGGCAGGATATCAAATCCAAACTCTTCTTCTTCTTCTTCTTCTTCTTCTTCTTCTTCTTCTTCTTCTTCTTCTTCTTCTTCTTCTTCTTTTATTTGATTTTTTTGTCACCGAAGTATGCTACAGGATCCTGCCCTTGCTGGAAACCCACAGAGATGAGGCGGATTGCTCACCTCTTCTGCCCTTTGGAGGGTGACTGTGCTGTTGGGCTGGCGACGAGATCACACTGGCCTATCTATTCTAAATGTATTCTGAATGTTCTTATGGGATGCCAATAAAGGTGACTTGACTTGACATATCAGGTGCAGCAGGGAAGGTGGTTCCAACTAGATTGCCCCCCACCCCCTCCATGCCGCAGACCTGATCTAGCTCTCTTCCGCAGTTCCAGGTGTTCATTAGACAAAAAAACAAAAAACATCCAGCAACACTGAAGTATGTGAT